TTCCCTAGACCTTTTCATAAAGCCTCTTGTATGATTGAACAAGATCTTTCTCAAGTGGATCTTTGGGCATTAACATGGGGGTTACGATCGGGACTATCAGCGTTTTTCTGCCCTGTCTCCCTTGACTTTAGCTGTGCTGTGGTATAAATGAGGCATGGTTGATCTCTTGTCTTCCAATCCCTCTCCTTTGTTGTCCCTATATTATAACCCCACTCTTCCCCAAGGGTTGGGCTCCTCTATTATTGGATTCTTTACACGTGCCTCCTGTCCCGTAGCTTGGGACTTTGTTTGCCCCCAATCGGGTCTTCCGCTCCTTCAAGGTGGGTCTAGGGATTGGTTGACCGCTCTACACCTATCCTCATTTTGCAAGCATTTACACTCTTCCTCTAACATCCACCGTCCATTTTCTAAGATTGAACAGCTGTGCTCCCTCCCTGAACTGCCGAGACATGTCCTTGCCTCTCTCTATAAAGTGCTCCATAATGCTCTTTACTCTGAACGCCCTATCTACACTAAGGTTTGGGCTCGGGACCTAGGTAGGGAGGTGTCAGAGGAGAAATGGTACACATCGTTCCACTTCACACATAAATCGTCTGTTTCTTGCTACTCACAAGAAAATAATTTTAAGCTTCTTTCCCAATGGCACAGGGATCCCCTCTCTCTACACAAAATGTTTCCTTCTACACCTGATCTTTGTTGGCGCTGTGATGGAGCTGTTGGTACACAACTCCACCTTTGGTGGGAGTGTGATCAAATACAACCCTTTTGGCGGCAGGTCTTTGCTGTGTATAACGAGATCTATGGGGAGTCCTTGACCCCTTCGCTGGAAATTTCTCTTCTTTCTATATTACCAGGCTCATGGCCATCACAGAGGAAATGTTTGTTGCGTTTCTTCCTCTCTTCAGCCCACCAATTAATACCTCTCTTTAGGAAATCGGCTGCCCCCCCTCCCGATGTGGGTTTCCGTGCTTAATGATACCATGCCTATGGAGGAAATGCTGGTGTTTACTAATGACACCTATGCTAAACATAAGCTGTTGTGGTCAATCTGGCTTAATTTCTCCTCCTTTACGTCTCTCCATGATATGTGTGCCCCTGTTGCGCTCTAGTGGAGTTGTGCCTTGTCCTCCCGTCTTGATCTCATTTTGGCTTATCCGCTGGTTAGACCCTGTGGTGCATGCCGTGCTATGTGCGTCAGGGTTGTTTCCATGAGACACGCGTGGACAGCTATCCCATTGCTACTTCTGCCATCCCCGTTCCCAACCCCCTCCTTTTTTCTTCTTTGATATCCTTTCCGCTGACCCTTTCTTTTCTTTTTCTTTCTGTTTCCTCTCCCCGTCCCCCTTTTTTTTTAATTCTTCTCCCTTTTTTCTTTTCCTTTCTCTTTTTCTCCTAAATTATGATTTATCATCTTGGTCGTGCGGAGTTCTTCCATATTAGTCCATACATCGTGCTGGGGGATACCCCCCAGACAATCTGTTATGTTTTACCTGCATGATATGGGCTATTGATCCTTCCTCTTACTGTTATATTGCACTATCTTCATTTACCCACATGGATCATAACCACCTCTCTGATGTTTTTCTTTTGTTTATGTGCTTGTACTTGTTTTTTATACTTCCTATGCTCTGTTTGTTAAATTTATGTAAAATAATAAAGACAAATTTGCCTTTAAATACTACTGTAAATACCTCAGACCATCTACTTTCTAAAATGGTTTAATTTGGGGGGTATTTGTACTGTTCTGGCATTTAGGGCCTCAAGTAATGAGCAGTGTTCATTTCGACTAAAACACGACTAAAAGTAAAACAATTTAGATGCCCAAAATATGGCTAAAACTAAAATTGCATTTTAGTCAAAAGACTATGACTAAAACTAAATTTGATGTCAAAATTAACACTGGTTATATATCACAACGGGTAAATCTGTGTCTGTTGTGCATATTAATACTATAAATAATAATAATACCATTAACAATACCATAAATAATAACATGTTATTAGATTTTTACTCTGGGAGTATATAATGAGTTTAGAAATGCTAGCGAAATGCTTAAATAATGCATTATAATTTAACTAAATCCATTTATTTTAGTCGACTAAAATTATTTTAGTTGACTAAAATGTACTGCGGATTTTAATCTGCTAAAATGTAAGATAATTTAGTTGACTAAATTGTACTGGAGATTTTAATTGACTAAAATATGACTAAAACAATTCACACCACTAAAATATGATTAAAACTAAAATGGCATTGTAGTCAAAAGACTATGACTAAAACTAAATTGAAATTTGATGTAAAAATTAACATCGAAAACGAAATAGGCCATCAGTACATCAGGATTGATCAGTTTTCAAATATACAGTATACCATAGTTTGTAGACTCTATAACCTTTACACAAACCAATTAATATACACCTCCTGTAATTTGTTTTAGGAAAGACATGCAACACTATACATTTTGGCCTACATTTATAAAGAAATTAGATTTTTTTTTTGGATATGTTTTATAGTGGAAAGTAGAAAATACAGGTTTTTTTTTTTAATTTTTGGTCTTTTTTCATTTATACAGTATAATAACAAATAAAAACCCAGTGATGGCTAAATACCACCAAAATAAATCTCTATTTGTGTGAAAAAAAAATATACATTTTATTTGGGTATAATGTTGCATGCTCAAGCAATTAACAGTTACAATTTGCTCTCACTACAGTGCTTAGGTTTCTGCTCGTTCTATTTTGTATAAAACACTGTTGGCCTCTCATTCCTATCAATAAGAACTAATCTGTGTCACAGCAAAGCAGCTGTTTACTTTACTTAGGCTCTGCTAGCATACAGTCTCTCCTTCCTATCTACAGCATGCTTTGCATCAGGCCTCCAAGGTGTAGGAATCGCTGGAACATCCCTGCTAGGTTATATAGTACCCACAGGATGAGTCCCTGCCCAGCTGGTCAATCAAGGCCTCTATTTAGTTTTACTTAGACCATTGTTTGTTGCCTGGGCATTAGATTAATTTCCTAGCCCTCGTTCACAATACTTCCTGTATTCCTGGTTCTCCATATACAGACTATGGACATTTTCATTGTATTTACAGTATCTCACTGTTCATGTTGTTGCTTTCTAGTAGCTTCCACCTCAGCGACCTTTCAGTATTTTAATTGTCTTCTTGACTGGCCACCATTAAATTATCCACATTTCAATTTTTATTTATATCTACTGTATTTTATGCTATTCTTATTTAATTCAATACTGGATAAATACTTTGATTTGATGATTTTGATAAGAAAAATCTCTTAAATGTTCTGCTTTATATCTCTTTTGTATGTGTTAATTATTTATTCCTGTTCTTTTATTGGGTGGCTTGAGTGAGACTTCATTCTGGTTTACATTGTTGTCCCTTCCTATATTCATTTCACCAGTGCATGGATGGTCTTACAAAGAATAGGGAATTAAAAGTTGACTATTAGGAAAAAAGTAATACAGTTAAGGAAAAATATGTAAAACACCCAAAACCTCAGTGTGCAGAATCTATGCCTCTCAGTTTATGCCTGTCTGTTCTTTTTTCTTTTTTTAAAGGGAATCTCCTATGTTTCCAGTGTGGTGGATCCAGCCACCATCAGTAATGCAGAAAATTTATTTTTTTAATTTATTTCAGGTACTTATATAGTGCTGTCAATTTACGCAGCACTTTACATATATATTGTACATTCACATCAGTCCCTAACCCTCAAGGGGCGTACAATCTAAGGTCCCTAACTCACATTCATATACAAGGGCCAATTTAGACAGGATTCAATTAACCTACCAGCATGTCTTTGGAGTGTTTGGAGGAAACCGGAGTACCCGGAGGAAACCCACGCAGGCACAGGGAGAACATGCAAACTCCAGGCAGGAGGTGCCGTGGCTGGGATTCGAACCAACGACCCTAGTACTGCCAGCCGGAAGTGCTAACCATTTAGCACCAAAATATATGCTTTGCACTGCATGCTCAGAGTAGGACATTTTGGGCTCCCTCGGGGAGGCAGTCGAACCTCTAGATTTTTCCCGTAATAGGAAGGGCTAAAAAATCTACCTTGAAGTCTCCCCCAAAAATTTCCTCCTGCTCAATGCCAGCACTCCAACACTCCTCGTTCTAACTACAGGCACCCCGACACTCATCCTCTTTGTATGCCTTCTTTTCCTCCTGCTGCATGACATTTCACATGCTGATAAAAGGCAGGGATGGCCTTATGTGCATAATAATGGTGCTGGTCATAGACTTTCAGGTCAAAATAGGTTTTGCACTTGCTACTGTGGTGTAGCACAGACCACATAAGAAAGGTGCATTTTTAGTCCAATAAAATATGGTTGCCATTTGAGGTTGATACTTGTCATGGTTACCATTCCAAACCTGGCAGGCCACAAAACGGAAACAAATCTCATAGCTGCAGCTAAAGCAGACTCCCTGATCTGGAACTGGTTTGCCATCCCTCTGGTAGGGGGCATTACATAGTGCATTGAGGTAGAAGAGGAAAAGTGCACATTAGAAACCAAAAATGACTGCTATGAAACCCTTGAAAAGGACGATGATACAAGGGTATACAGGCAGTCCAAATACATGGTTGCTATGCATCCTTGAACAGGAGAAGGAAAAGGCTACATTAGGAAACCATAAAAATAGCTGATATGTACCCTTGAGGAGGGTGTGGAAAGGGTTGTTTTAGCAGCACTCATAAAAAATGTGACTGCTATGCCCCGTTGATAAGGAGTGCAAGCCTTTTGCTGCCAACTTGTCTCCTTTAGGTACTGCTCCAACTGAGCTCTATTGTTAAGTAATGTGTTCCCTCATGTATGTGGTATCCAAATGATTGGTACTTTGCAGGCAAAGGCTCTTTTTTGCTTCCTAATCATATGCTTGCATACTGTTCTAATGCTAGCCACTTTCTACCAAACACATATCTACAGTATATTTTGGAAACAATTTAGAATCAGGGAATGTGGGGTTGTAGTTTAGAAGTATGCAGGGGCAGACTGACCATCTGGAAACTCGGGCACTGCCCGAGGGCCTGGGGTCAGTAGGGGGCTCCATGAGATGCCCCTGGTACATTTTTCATAGGCTTTTTTGAGTTTGGGCAAGGACACAGGGGCCCCATGATCCCCTATTGCCCGGGGGCCCCATGAGTTGTCAGTCTGCCCCTGGAAGTATGTTTTGTACTGTGTTTTGACATGACCTGGGTTTGCTTTGAACTCATTCTTGACTTCAAACTCAACCTCATTTCTGAATTTTAATGACAGGAAAGGGTTAAAACCCCTGCCAGCTTACTTTATTGCTATGTTCCATTGGAGAAATGTATTTTATGTCCTGTTCCAGAGTAGCAAAGGGAAGTTTAAGGAAATCTCACAATGTGAGGGGAATCCTCCTATTAGACAGTTGTCCCTGGAACTTTTGCCTAAAGATAAACTTTTACAGGAATCAGAGTGTAAATTATGATTGAAAATCCATATATTCAAAGCTATAAAGCAGCTGTTTTATCACCCAGGTGTAATTTTAAGCATAAATGAATGTCCTGTAATCAATCTCTTTTCCGCTGAGATGTCAAATGGTCTGTTTTCCAGTCATCAAATTCATTCTAATCTTCATTTTCTTATCTCTTTTGGCATGAAATGATTCAGAATCCCTGATGGTTCCTGTAGTCAAAATATGTCTTTATAAAGTTCTCCATCATCATAAATTAATTAAATCTCTATATGACACATTCAGTAGGATGAACAAACGGGATTGATTTTCAGGTTTAAAAATGCAGAGGCAAGCACTTACATCTGAACCACTAAGTGCCCATTGTGTCTTTAATCCAGGGAGAGAGGTCACATCCTGTTAATGTGCTTCCACCATAAATATTTTAAGCGTCACTTAGAGCTTTCATTATGGGTTACTTTTCATTGTACATGGAAGGGCAGCCAAGAACTATACTTCTATTTCTGGAGAAAAGGAGTTTGATATTGCTTATTTTAGTCAGGTTAATTGGGATGTATTCTGTTAGTAAGGAACTTTATTTAAGTTATACCTGCACATGGTTTGAGCCTAAGTATCACACAGAAGAAAAAGCTATCTTGTGGTATCGTTTTTTTTAAGGTTGGACTTAAAGGCCATAGCTCTTTGTTAGCCTGTGTAAAGAATTGACACTGCTCAATACATAGCACTCCTATATTTCTTTAACTTCACTCAACTCTATTCTATTCCTGAGTAGTATTATTCTTCTGGTCATTCAGATTCTTTTTTCTCAAGAGGTATGAAGGAAATGTTACCGATAGTAGCCAATCGCTCCTCCCTTTTATACTGCATTGGAAGAAAGGGAGAGGAGTCTTACTGATTGCTTTGGGCTCCAAGAACAGTTCTTCCTTCAGACAAACTGGTAAATGAAGTCCTAACTGAGCAGCAGTATTTATCAGTAGTGAAGTACAGGATCGATTAAACACATCTTTGTCTACCTTGTAGACCAACTTGCATTGTGAGACATCAAGAGGCTGATGACTTTCAACTGGAGAAAAGAAAACAAGCACAAAATGTGAACTCTAACCATTAAAAGGCAATCAGATTTCATGTTTCATTTTTGTTAAACAATAATATAGGAACTATGATTGGTGGCTATGGACATCAACTCCAATTTTAGTTCAATTTTCTCAGTTTTATGGAAGTCAAGGGACATAGACAAAATGTCCTGCTTGCATATCTAAATGTCGATTGCACCACACATGTGCGGTGTCACCACAAACGCCACAGTGAGAACAATAATTCTTGCTTCAGACCTCCTGTTTCACCCTAAACTGGTAACCTGCAAAGGCTTTTTTAAAGTATTGTCTATGGGGATTTTTAGGTACCGTAGTTTGGCGCCTTTCCATGGGCAGACACAATTTTTAAATATTGCCTGTATAATATCTATTTGCTTGGCATAAAAATCATATTTTACAAAAAAAATTGGGTATTATACACATTTTTTTTAATTAATTAAAGTGTTTTTTTTTAATATTTGCATTTGAAAAAACAGCTGCTCAAATACAGTGTGACATAAAAAATATGCAACACCCACCATATTACTCCCTAGGGCCTTTGCTTAAAAAAAGTGATAATGTTTTAATGCCCAGCTCAGGAGGAAATGGTGGCTCAAAATTCTTGTGAATTATGGAATATGGTCCCTGTGGCCCAGGTCAAGGTATGCTTTTCCAACCTATCGTGATCTGCGGACAGCAAATGTTCCAGATCCATGAGGGAATCCTTTTCCAGTACCCATTCGGCCAGGGTAGGTACACTTGGGAATCTCCAGTGCTTGGGAATAGTGGCTCTTGCAGCCGTCAGGAAGTGGCAAAGGATATTACATTTAGCAACCTAATTGAACCAGGCAGTATAGATAATAAGGTGATTTGAGGGGTATTAGGGACAAATGTTCCTGGAACTTTACAGTATAGTTGCAATATGGAAGCCCAGAACCTCTTAATCAAGGGACCTTAGCACTCCCACACCACTAACACAGACTGGAGAGGGAGGGGTAGTATTGATATAGAATGTCTGGGCACCTATACCACCTTGCTAGAAATTAATTTTTTTTCTCTTGTGCAGTACTGGCTACGTGAAGCTTATGTGACAAAATAACTCCCATTCCCACATGACGTTATAGGCCAGAAGATTCGGATGAGAAAGGGAAGGCGAGACAGAAAACATTTGAGAGACTGCATGCCTCAGTGGTGAATCACTGAGTAGAACATCCTCAAATGAGCTGGAACGTGACATGAGCTTTTGATTGTCAGTGACAGAATGAAGGAAGAGATCAATGGTTTCAGTAAGAACCAATGTTCCATCCCACAAATCTTAGAAAAATAGATAGTGAGATGAGAGAGAGAGAGAGAGAGAGAGGTGCTGGCTGGGAATAATGCAGCCAGTTAGCTTAGTCCAAGGGCCTAAGGTATGCCTATGGACCCTCACAGGGAAAGAAGGATTATTGAACAGGGGTGCCATATGGCCTACATAAGCAAAAAGATTTAAGCTCTCAGATAAAATTTCCCATATGCCCAGTGTCTGTTTGTTAGAACTAAAATAATACAAATGTCCTTCTGCTTAGGGGGGAGGATCCATGGGGGGGCCTGCAGGTTGAGTGAGGACAGGAACCTATATTTTCCTTTGTAGGTTGTGATCAACTCCAATTTTGTTCCTGATTTAGTTTTTTCTAGTTTTATACTTGGGCCACTGGAGATATATGAGCATATATGAACAGGACTTGTACTATATATGCTGCTGCACTGGTTGCTCAGGGCAGAAGGCATAACAGTGCATTACACTACATAGTCTGCATGGAGGAAGATGGTTGATGCTCGATGGTATTAGTATCATGGACAAGGGCCAGTTTTATAAAGAGAAAATGTTGGGGGAGGAGGACGACAAATACCTGCTCTATGAACGCTACTCAAACATTTATAGTGATGCTACAAGCTCCATAAGTGTTTAGTGACATAAAAATATTATAGAGCTGTCTGTGACACTTTTGGAACTCAAACAGATTATCTGTGGGACATACTGTATATCAAGCAAATTTAACAACTGTCCAAAAAAAAAAAAAAAAAACAATACGTCTCCACAAGTCCACATTTTGCATACTTAGCTTGCAGGCATGGCTTCAGAGAATGTCTCTGCTCACTGTTCACCAAACAACATGGAGCCCCACAACATGTTAATTTTAAGGCATATTTATTCTATGTAGGTTTTTAACCATTGAGTAAGCCCTTGTTGGACAAATTGCATGAGGCTCCTAGGTAGGTTGATCATTGAACCTTTCCATAGGGAAAAAAATACATTTTAAACTGAACCTGGTGCAAGACATTTACTCCAGTAACAAATTTGCATGCACACCAACAGCAAATTAGTCTGGGTATCATTTTGCAGAATATACTCAACAGTTGTTTGTTTAATTGCGGCCAATCAAAATTTTGCAAAGGTTTGTTGACAAATTTTCCACAGTAGATGACAGATTGTCATTGAAAACATGGCATGTGGGTATGCTTACCGGACATACTGTACATAATGTAAGAATGTTTGTTGCACTTTTTTTGGCTCTTGTGGACAATTAAATCAACACACAGCAGCTGAAATCATTTCTAGAATTCTCTCGATTCATGTGTTTTTAATTCTCTATCCCTAGACACTTGTGCATCCTATTTCCCAAATCTTGTCCTGTCTATAGCCTTTAAGCTTAAGTTTGCCGCTAAGTTTTCCAGTAAACCTTTTACAATAAATAGATACAAAAGAAAACTACAGCCACAAAAAAAGTTGGTGGTTTAAATGTGCTAGTGACAGCAATAGAAAATAATTTTTTTAGGCAGTATGCAGCTTTGAAATTTAGCTCCATGCTTCTTTCTGTCCTAGAAGCACACTGAATATAGTATCTATATCAACATTCTGCGCTTTTATGCAGGAGTATGCTACACCACATTCCCTACACTAACAATTGTTACTTAGGGGCCTGCCAACCACTGAAAATATGGAAACATGGGGAAAACAAAATACAAAATGTTTTTGAGTGGAGCACCAAAAATTTGTCAGCTGTGGTCTTCAGCAAATTTTTACTGAATAATAAACTGTATTTTGAATTAAAGATGGGACAGGGCTGGGGAGAGCACATATAGGAAGCTATGAAAGTAACTTTTGCTTACATCTTTTGATGTTTTCAGCAAAAATATACTAACATTTTGAAGACTTGTATTTTAGGATGAACACCATATTTTGAAATTGTTACTTTCCATGAAATGATTAAAGATTGTAATATTGTTTGTTTCACACAGCATCATAAGTGACAAACTGCATGAGAAGTGGTAAAATTAAGACTATTTAAATGACAAGCTGAATTGTTGGCTGCACTTTAGCTAATTATCTTGGTTATATTTGTGTTGTGAAAAAGAGGCCTTCAGAGAAATGAGTCACTCAGTAGGATGCCCCATAGGGTTATGATACTACGTAACTATTCAGAGTTTTTGTTGCCACTGTGTTGAATGTCACAGGGAAAGTAAATTTCATATTTTATCCACATAAAAAATAGTCCTAAAAGAAAATGCACTGCAACTAAAAATGAGCACAAACTACAGGTTGCTTGTGAAAACAAAAGCTCTAAAAGGTTTTTTTTTTTTTTTTTCATTGACATTAGAGCTGTCATCGCTGG